CCTGACATGATGATGTTGGCAACTGTATTATCATGAAGACCTGAAATAAAATGGGAAATAAACCAAACCAAATATATATATATATATATATATATATATATATATATCCTATGAAGTCTGTCTACTCTCTCCACCCCCTCCCCTTTTAAGTAATAGTGAAAACAATAACATTAGACTGAAAATTTTAAACCGTATTTTTGATAATAAATTTCAAGCTTGTGTACCCATCTCCACAGAACTCATTCCTGTTTTGTTCATTTTGTCTCTTTTTTCTGAAGTGTTAGCACTGTAACTTAGCTCCATGTACATCTTATACAATCATATTAACTTCAGTCTATACACATTTTGGTTCTTATTTTCCAATGTAATTTAAAATGAAATTACTTTATCAAAATCTCAACTCAATATGAATGTTCTAATTTTACATCTGCTAACATTTCCATCTCTGTACTCCCTCCACAGCACCACCAACACTAAAATCAAATATCAAATGTATCTGTTCCTGTGGACACAGCAAGTGATTAATACATACTGTTGGAAAGACCACCATAAAAAGACTAGAAAGAAAAGTAAAAAGGCATCAGCAATGGTAACAGTGGTAAAGCTGTACTCTCCTCTTGCCCAGAGGAAGACCAACCAGTAGGTAGCAAGAAATCCCTGATATGTGGCAATCAAGACTGCAGTCAACACGGACAGCTGTCTCAAAGTTCCCAAGCCCACAATGACATCTTGCTGCTGCAAGGGAGTTATAGGGATTCCTGTTTTCCCTTTTGCACCAGCAAACAGCTAACTCCTTACAATGGCAAACCACTTGAGAATGCTTCCTAGTTCTCAAAGAGAAGTAGTTACTCCTTAGCCACTCATGAACCACCAATAATTTAAAAAGTAGAAAGCCTAAATTGAAATTTACCATGGGAACTAAAGAGCTCAAAACAGTAGGGGGAGTTATCTGAGAAATGTAAGATGGTGTTCCTCAGGGATTTCTTCATAATTATCTCAACTGCACAAGCTTTAGAAATTTATTTCTGGCTATGCACAAAGACTCTCCTAGAAGATCATTCTGAATATGTGACTTATGCATGTTTTCTGCTTTATTCAAAAATAATGTTTTAAATTATGTGTATTTGTAATACAGAATAGTGATGTTAGTTTTGGTTAATTAGTGCATGCATATAACCTATCTATAAAAAATAGATAAATTTATAAATACTACCAGTGCTATTTTGTATGTTACTTAAAATAAAGTTTCCATTAAAAAGAGAAAAATGTCAGTGCTTGTATTTGGGATGATAGACGGGACGGCATTTGGGGTTCATGAACAGGTAATTTTTCATATTTTGAATAAATGTTGTCCTACTGAGTGTTGTTAGATAGTCTGATTCCAAGTGCCCTGAACCTGTACACCATGCCACCTAGGACCCTAACCTGGAATGTGATAGCTTGCAGCTTCAATACAAGTGGTCAAACTAACCTTACAATGAAATTCAATCAAGAAAAAAAAAAGTCTAAAACTATAGCATTTTCATTCACAGAGAGTTTGGTCCTCAAATGAGAAGATTTAAAAAGAATTCCACAAGATACCATGTAGTTCTTACGTGCTTGGTGAGCAGATCATAGTATAGCCCATCCTTTCCTTGGGAAACAGGATTTAGATTTAGATGCCACAAAGCAAAGCACATAAACTCATCTCAGAGAGAAAGCTAAGTGCTTAAAACTTGAGGAAAACCATATAATTCTTAAAATCAAAATTTTAAGATTTCTTCCTGGTGATAAAACTGTAATTAAATCTTATTTAACTGTTTCCTCTAATGACATCCATTTTAATTAGGTTTTAATAGACTGGCAGCCACAACCTATCGTTTTATGAAGCAAAGTAAAATTACAGTCTAGAAAGACATTTAAGGAAAGAGACCCATCAACGCAGATGAGAGGTTAGGATCTATCCCTAAAGACCCCCCACAGTAATTAAGTGAGCTGAACAGACAGCCATTCGGGCGAACAGTAGGTGTGCTCACCACCAACCAGCACGGGGTTGTTCTTTGAAATCCAACAGTTATTTCTGGGATCTGCTTTTCAGAAAACGTGCATTTCCCTGAATAAAAGACTCCAACTATAGGAGTATGTGTCCTCCAGTTTCTACCAAATGTGCAGCCTCTACCCTATGACAACAGAACTGTCTTAAGCTTGTAATGTATACTTTTTCTTATAAAGGGGTTACGATATGACATTATTTATCTTGAAAATACCATCATATGTTTGGGAAAATGAACATCATGTACAGAAAGTAAAATTAGTATCTGAAAAACTGATTCATGTACAGGATAAATGCATCTGCAAATGTGATGCATTAAACAAGATCTTAATAGCGTGCATCTGTATCTATTTCATACATTATGAAAACCAAGGACTAAATCACGAAAATTAGCTCAGACCAAATGAATACCACAGGCATTTATATATTAAAAAAGAAAAACAGAATAATCAGTCTCTGTATTAGCAAGAGGATGGGGGAGAGATGGGCCTGTGGCTACCACAAATACATTTGCATATATTTATTTGAAAGGGGAAAAGTTAAAATGAATGTGTTCTTTTTAAAGTAAGTTTGAAATATCAACAATTTATAATTTTCATAAATCAAACAATAAGAATGTTAGAAAGAGATATCTGGCCCTATGAAAAAGATTTTTGTAATTTCTGAGCCAACAATCTGATGACTCTATATCTCTCCTGCCAAGAAGCAGTTACTTGGCTAAGATACTCTCACTTATACACTCTCATCAGATGAAAGCTTCCATGCCAGAAATCCTTTTTTGTTTTTTTTTCCTGGTATGTTGGCCACTGCCAGAAATGGACCCATCGAATCTACCGGTGCTAAGGAGTTAAGCATCTGAGATTTAATTTAACAGTTTCAGCTTTATTAAGCTGTCACAGAGCAACCCCACTTTGATAACAGTAGCTGCTCCAATTATGGCTTGGTTTAGGGTTGACAAGTATAATGATTCATTCATGGCACATGAGAAGCAATAAAAGGTTGTTTTGCATTACAGCTTTAAAAATGTGGGCACTTTTTTCATTTAATTTGTCACTTAGCTTTTGCTAAGAGGACATTTAAATTGCAGTAAAAGGCAAATGGGGCTTTTAGTTTAAATGTAATCCCCATATTTAAATGATCTGTAATGGTGCAGTGTTGGAGTGGGAACACTATTGTCTCACAGTGGGTCCTGATGGTGACATGTGACATTTGTATTCAGGTCCTGTATTATCCATGTGGCTAAAGGGCTTCCAATTTCATTTCACAGCCAGAAGCCTGCAGAAAACACCAATTAACTTGCAGATCCCATTTGCCGACAAAACTCAGCCTCTTCTCAATGTCTGGCATCTGGCAGTGCTCAGCATTTAATTCCAAAGCAGAGCCTTGAAGCAATGTGAGCCCTGTGTAGGGGCACAAAGTCAAATTCCCCCATTTTATTAAGAAGCAAAAGCCTTTCCTTTGTAGTCTAGAAGGAACTTTTAGTTAATTTTTTGGTGAATGAATACTAAGATGTGATAACAATTGTTACTTGTATGTGGGATTCTTCACAAAACTTAGAACCCATTAAAATGGCAAGCGCCATTTTGCCATTACAGTACACAGGAGAATTTCTAACAGTTTAATAATGATGGACGGGGTAGTGGGAGGAACACAAGAAACTGCCTTCTTCATCCTAGTCTGAAATCAAGAACTTGTATAAAGCCTGGTTCCTAATTAGAAAGTAATCCTTGGAGGGCATGGCTAGAGTCAGCTGGTAAAAACTTCTACCCAATGAGAATTTATACTTTTGATTAAGGATTGAGATACGTAATTTTCAAGCCCCACTTGGTAAAATGAGATGTGACTATGACTTAAACGTAAACACTGTAAACTTTGACTATGTCACTCATTCTGGTTTTTTTTTTTTTTTTTTTTTTAGTACCAGGGTTCAAACTCATGACCTAGCACTTGCCAGGCAGGCGCTTATGCCGCTGAGTTAAATCCCTGGCCCCAACTTGTTCTGATTTTGGTAACCAAAATATACAGGTGGTACTTTCCAAATCATTTATTTATAATTCTATGTTTTCTAAGCACTAAAGCTCTTTTTTGTCCCTACATGGCCCCTTTTCACTGTAGTTCCTTAACGTTGATTCTTTCTACTTTTATAAGCCAAACAGTCAATTCAACATGTAATACAGTTATAAAACTGAAGAGGATTTATTTGGAAAAGTAAAAATTCCATATCCTATGAAAACGTTTGTTTAAATGATACATTACTTGAGTTATTTAACAACATACTGTGGCCCCAAATATCATTCCAACCATGGAAATTATATACTACAGTTATAGATGGATTTAAATTCTGACTAGGGGAACCATTATTTCAGGAGACTCATACAAAATATCAAGATTTGAGTTTTCTAAGATACATTTTTTTTAAAATGCTAGGAAAAAACATTAACAAGTATTTACTATTTGGCAAATGGATCTAAACCTCCTAACCTCCCTGGACTTCAGTTTCCTCGTCCATAAAACAGTTCATCTCAAAAGTCCCAGATTCCAATTATGGTCATACTGTACCTTCGGAAACGACAGCTTCTCTTGGTCTAGACCTGGGATCAACAAGCACTCAGCTCTAACTCTGTGGCAGCCAAATATAAATATTCAAACATGGCAAAGGGACTCCAAATTTTAGCTGAACTGATTATCTACTAATCTACAAACAAGCAGCTCTATATTAAACGACTAGATTAAAATAATATCTCCCCACCATGTATTTAAAAGTAAGTACCCACATTTACTTTCCTCAAGGAAAAGCAACTCCCCTCAAATCCTGCTAAGGCTAGCTCAAGTCCTCATTCTTCTTCTTCTTCTAACCAGCAAATACTGGCAACAAGTTCATCAGCAATACTGCAACCATATTTTTAAAACATTCCACTGTGGTCTTTCTCCACACAACCAAATGGTACTCTGTAGGAAGCATATTTACCCAGCTCATCCCAGAGCTGCCTGTATTTGTCAGTCATCGCAGTGCCTTGTTGCCTCCAAAGTGACAGGCGAGGGTCAGCCATGAATTGCTCTGTTATCAAGGTCAACATACGGGCGCCATTGGAATCCCTCATTTTCAACATCTCCCGCACCTGAGGGGAAAGCAAACCTTTAGAAAAATGTTGAAAGAAAGAAAGGAAAGAAAGAAAAGAAGGAAGGAAGGAAGGCCAACTTCCTCAATAGCAATATGAGAGACAAACCACTTTTCCCTTTCTTGTCTGTGTGTGTGCGCGTGTGTGAGAGACACAGAGAGACAAAGAGAGGCAGAGGCAGCTTCACACCAACCCTTTTAAGCAAATAGAAGTAGTTAAAATCTGATCTCTATCCTAAATTTCAATTTAATCAGAGAAATGCTCATTGATTCTGCTTAGAAACCATGAGGAAAGTTTCTCTTACTTTCCAATTCCAAAATTTTTTCCTTGTGTTTTACACATATGATTAAGGTAAACGATTAAACTGTGTTTCATATGTCAAGTATAAGCAAATTTTTGATGCCTCCATCAAACTATCTCTTTTACCTAAACTGAGTACACTTAGTGGTCAAGATTATATCCCAACAACATAGATAAAAGGGTAATTTTTCAAAGTAATATGATAATGTTTTAACTTTTTTGAGACAATTTCATATACCATATAATTCATCAACTTAAACTATAAGGTTCAATAATTTTTACTATATTCACAGAGGTGTACAAAAAGTCATTTAGTTTTCTAGATAAATTAGTAATTTTAAAGTCTTTTGCTACATTTTTGTAATGTAAAGATCAGCACACAGTTGCCCCTCACTATCATGGAGAATGAGTTTCAGAAGCTCCTGAAAATACCAAAAGCTGTGGATGTGCAAGCTTCTTCCATAAATGACACAGTATTGCACATAACCTCTGCACATATTCCTGTCTCTTCGAATTTCCACATTACAGCACTTATAATACTAGCCATCATTGGTTATACTGTATAGTTTAGAGAATAATGACAAGAAGAAAACTCTGTACATGTTCAATACAGATATAGTTATCACTGTGGGTCTAGCTACATCTTCAGTCTGCTAAGGCAGACTGTGGATCCAAAGGGCCACAGACATTCACTCAGGTAAGAATGCTCTCAAACAGTAAGAGGAAATTATCCAGGATATGGGATTCAAGAACTCTCTTCCTCTGTTTGAATGATGCACAAAGAATAATCACTGACTTAATAAACTTACTTGGTGTCTCAAGGCAGAACCTCAAATTCTATCCTTTTTGTGTGCTCTACAGTTCAGATAAATGAAAGAATAGAAAAAGAAGGATAAGTCTGCAGGAAACACTAAATGAACTCATCCATTCTCAAAGTAGCTATGTATTCAACAAATAAGCTATGTATTCAACAAATAAGAATCCTAACTGAACACCAGCTGTGACTGTAAGAAATCAGGAAACACTAAATGAACTCATCCATTCTCAAAGTAGCTATGTATTCAACAAATAAGCTATGTATTCAACAAATAAGAATCCTAACTGAACACCAGCTGTGACTGTAAGAAATCACTGGAGCAAGGTGCCTAGCTGTAGATAAGAGAAGAGGGGGTTCTACTTTTCAGGATTCTCCTCATGTGAAAGGCAAGTAAAGGAGGAAGTGGCAGATCAGCAATAAACACAGAAACCCAACAGATCCTGCCTCACACCTTGACCTGACAAACACTTGGAACCCCTCACTTGCTTTACAATAAGCTCTTCAAAAAACTCAAAAGCATTTCTACCCTGAGTCACAGAGGTTGTATTCTCAAAGGGTTATTTCAGTAAAGCTAAAGAATTTATTCTCAAAATGGAAGTGCAAAACAGTCATGGGAGGAACCCTGGGAGGAACAGAGAGAGATGGCATTTACTGCCTAAACAGTTTTATTTATACTTACGCTTATTATTCAATCTTCAAACAACTATGTAAAGGAGGTCACTATTATAATCTCCATTTATGAATTATAAATCCAAGGTTCAGAAAAGTTAAATAACTAGCCTGAAGAGTAAGGATAACAGCTAGAATCAGAGCCCAAACCCAAATCTGTCTTAACTCCAGGAGGTATACCATTTCCAAAATTTGATGTTACTTCTACTTCTCATGGCATACACAATGCATACAGAATATATAGGGGAAAAGTAACAAAGGCAGACCAGTATAATACTCTTTGTATATTGTTTCTACTTGGCCAGTGTTGACATCAAAACATATTTATATGTATTTTAACACTTTTTAGATGTTTCAATACATATTATGCTTTCCATTGTCAGTGTATGAATGGGTTTGAATTGATATTTATCTTTCTGATAAATTTCTAACTTATTACTCAGTAATAGTAATGAAATAAATACTGTAACACATATAAAGTAGAACTCTACTAATTAAATTCAAGTACATCTATAGCCTAAAAGTAATACATTTTCAGAATGTTGACACTGATGAATTACATGAATTTAAAGTATCTGTGATTATTAGAGAATGATCAAATCATATGTTAAGTAGTTTTAGAGTTAAATGTAATTTCATTCACTTCTTGGAAAACTGGAAATCTACAGATGGCCTCTAAGATAGATGTTTATTAAAAATACACTATTTCCTGGTCATACTCAATAACAGAGGTCATCCTAATCCTACAACTTTTAATCACTATAAACGTTAGAGACATAGCTTAAAAAAGTATCAATGAACACAGTTATCTGTTTTCCTACCGTATTTATTTATTTATTTACTATTACTTACTTAGTTAACTGGGAAATCAAATTCAGGACCTCATACTTTCCAGGCAGGCACTGTGCCGCTGCTCTATATCCCCAGCCCTCTCGTACCTATTTTAATATGTTAATCATAATGATGGTGGTACCATCAGTGAAAATATAAAGACGTTTTTACCCAGTATTTAGAAATGTCTATAGTACTAGAAATGCTGCACAAAGCAAGATATGACTTCTGCTTACAGGAACATGTGACAACCTAACTATTTTTTAATCATGAGTTTTAAGTGATCAAACTGAATGCTACACACCATCATTCAACATCACTATCAAAGCAACTTTAGAAGATACGATACTATTAGTTAATTTTATAAATGAGGATGTTGACTTTAATTTGCTAACGTTCATATGCTTAATAAGCTTAGAATGCTGATGTCTGTATGACTCTAAAATCCATGCTTTTGAAATTAACTTAGAGAGATGCTGACATTATTATACTAAATATTTAATGCATATTTTAAGAATTTTAATTAATAAAAGAAAAATCTTTTTTTAAAAAGGTATGTTCAGCCGGGTGTGGTGCCTCACACCTATAATCCTAGCATTTGGGAGGCTGAGGCAGGAGGATTGTTTGTGAGTTCGAGACTAGCCTAGGCTACAAAGTGAGTTCAAGGACAGCCCGAACTGCATAGCATGTCAAAAAGACCAAAAAAAAAAAAAAAAAAAAAAAAATGTATGTTAAATAACATCAAGTCATTTATTTTGTTTTTACTATTCAAAGTAGTTTTTCAAAACTGCATAAATTATCATCACTTTACTAATAGGAACTGAGAAAAGGAAAATATCTCATCTTTGCGTAGGGTCGGCTAAACAAACTAAACCTTTAACACAATACAAAACTTTCTAACTAGTTCATTAATTTGAACTTTTTCTTTAATAAAAAAGCTTTGTCATTTGTAAAAATGATCTTTAACAGTTTCTTTGTATACATAAGTAGTAAGAATATTACTTTAAAAATAAATAGTCATACCTTTGCAAAGAGCAAATTAAGCTGCTTCCCTGATCCGTGGTACCCGCCCTGGGAAAGGAACAGTTTAACCTGTTCTTGAACCTGCTCTTCATCTAAGTGCCAGCAATTTTCATCGTCTATACTAGCACCTGCTGTTGGATCAGGAGCACCTAGAAATAGAAAGAAAAAAGTAATACATGTGCTAGAAAAAACACTGTGTCCAACAGATTCTGATACAAACTTGCAAATAATTAAGATTATCTATTTTTACCTAAACATTTAAAAATACAATCTCAATTTCAATTATACACAAATTTATGATCAAAAATAAAAAGTAAAATCACTTTAATTTCTAAGACTTGAGATTTTTTGATATGCCAAATGCAGATTACTCTACAATGAAAATATTTCTGTTTTTAAAGGTCAGACTTTTGTCTTTAGAGATGAATTTATAGGTTTTTTAAAAGAATTCAAATGTCACAAAAAGTCATAAGTTCTATTGTGTAGTATATACACATAGAAAATTTTTTCAGAGACATTAGAAAAATACAGAAAATTAAAACTCAGCAGAGTGCTTCACTTACTACGTTGATTCATGAAGCCTTCACTGTCATCTGCTGCTGAACAGACTACATGCTGACATAAGTCTTTAGTTGCAGAAAGCTGAAGATTAAAAAGGGAAATCAAGCCACACGGGAACAGGCAGTGCAGCTGTTGTACTAAACCAGGCTGTAGTATCACCTTGCCAAACTGCATAAATATTTTATTGCTGAAGTACACACAAAAGATAACAGCTATGTAATAACCTGTATGTGCAGACTATCGCACAAATACAAAAAACACCAAGATATTTAGGCAAACATTAAATTTCATTATTTATTAAGAAAGTAAAATGATATCTGAAGGCCGAAGACCGGTAAGAAATAGAAAAAAACCCTAAAAACTACACACACACACACACACACACACACACCCATTTCATTTCATCAACCCTAAAAAAGTACATTTGTAGCGGTAGTTTTATATTACTTTTCTTGTCTTGTAATGATCTATACCAACTCAACTGACCAAAAAAATAGTCACGAACATCTCCTTAGTACCAGGAGCTACTAGACCTTAGTAGAGAAAGGCAGTAAGTTCCTTTCCTGAAAAAGCATTTCGTTCACTCATTTACTCAGCCAGTCAGCACGTTTACTGTGTGCCCAACTTGCCAGCTTGCTTCTTTGCTAGACTTGGGGACAGAATGGTACACACAAAATAGACATAATTCCTCTTCTCATTCAATTTAGTTTAATTCCCAGGTTTTCAAACTTTTTTTTTACTGAGAACCACAACAAAAAATATATTTTATCATCATGCTGACAATGCTTACTTGTCTGTGTACTTGCATGGTTAGAGTTATTAATATGATGGAAAAATTTTGTGGGGAAAAAACCAGAAATACTCCTACCATGAAAGAAGAGTTCTGTTAATCTGTACGTGGCCTCATTTTTGGAATGAGAAAAAAAGCTTGCCATAATCTTATACACTGATTGCATAAACTATAAAGGGTTGCAATCCACTATGTGGAAAAACTGCTCTAAGCTAGATACTGATCTCATAATCAGAGCTATTGATCTAAGCTAGATATTGATCTAATAATCATATATAAATATATAAGTGAAGATTACTCAAAGGAAGAAGTCAGAGGTCTGGGAAGCTACAGGAGAGAGCTGAGTTGGCTTGGAAATGTTGGAATAAACACATTTAGGAAAAATGGCCCGGAGCTAAGACCTGCCACGTGCAGATTAGAAGCTAACTGGAAGTTAACTAAACACAGGGAAGAGAAGAAGTAGATCTGCATGTGAGGTGGAAAAATACATGGAGGCAATAAAAGTTCATGTAACTCTTGAGTAGAAGATGAGGGCAGGAGCACTGCAAGTCAATCCTGGAGCAAGAAACAGCAAGATTCAGAGGGTCTTCACTGGTAAGGAGGTTAGTTTCTTTTTCCCTGAGAGTAATGAGTGAAAATTCACGATATGGATACCTGAAGAAGAAGAATGGAATATTTTGCCATAAATAGTAAAAAGTGTTTTGCGCTAATATGCATTGATTTCAACATTACTATGAAATCTTATGCAACCATAAAAATGGAGACATTCCCTACACTGGAAAGATGACTGAGATACACTGTTGAGTGAAAAATATCCAGGGGAAGAAAAAAAAACAAATAAAATGTACCACCTTTGTGGTGGTGGTGGTCTTGGGGATGCTAGGCAAGTACGCCACCACTGAATAGCATCTTCAGCCCAATAATATCAAAAGCATTTATAAACAGTATTAGCATTTCTTTATAAATACAAACACATCTGAGAAGGCTATGTAAAATGAGTACCCTAGTTACACGGGGGGAAGATTCTTCATTGAATAATTTTATATTTTAAAATCTCTGGAACCATGTGAAATATATTTACCTATCTAAAAATGTAACCTTCAACTGAAATATGGAGGATAGACTGGGGAGCAAAATATAGAAGAAGAAAACAAAGAGAATGCTATTCTTGATAGTCTATAGAAGACGGTAACTTGAAATCTACAACAAAACCAGAAAAGGATAATCTGACAGGAACTTAGGATATAAATAAAAAACATTTGACAAGGAAGTGGGTATGTGATATAGGAGATACAAGGGTGTGCAGAGACATGAGTTTCTGGATTAAACAAGAAGACAGATACCTGACTCAGATACTCACTGAGTCACAGACCACTGAAGAAAACTAGGTCTCCATGGTGGGCGAGTGTTAGGTCCTTAAATTCAGTTTAGGTCGTTAAATTCAGATGTGGCAAATCTGAAATGCCTTTTAAAACAGTGAAGAAGAAGGGACAGGATTTCAAGCAGAGAGCTGGCCTAAACTTAAAGGCTGGGAAAAGAAGATGAGCAAGGAGGGCAAGAGGAACAAGTGGCCTCATCAGGAAAACCTGAAGAGACTAGCTCTTCCAGAAGTCAGGAAGAGAAAGTTATTCCACACAGAGACTGGGCTTTCATCTGTCCTATTCATCACTGCTGTCTACTACCTCGCCACTACTGGGCAGCAATATTCTTATGAGGAAAAGAGACAAAGGTATGTAAATAATTTTTTTCCACTAAGGAAAGGACTCAAGATTCTCTATTTGAAAGGTTAAGAACCACTGTAAAGTACCCTTATGGACATCGTCTCATTTTCTCCTTACAACGTTCCTGGAAGTGATTACAGACCATTAATTCCCATCCTACAGAAAGAGAAACAGGTTCCAGTGGTGACTTGTCCACAGCCACACTGGTTAACTCCAGTCTTCTGGTTCTCCCTGCCAAAGAACATGTCCCAAAACCCTACAGTTAAAGTTGAACCCTTAAGTCATCAAGGCAAGGGCTGTCGACCTTAAATCAAAGATAAATTTAAGATATTGTATCCTTGTTAGGATGATTCTTTCTTATATGAAGCTTTATACAGACACATGCTGAGAAGTTAATTGCTAGGTCTACAAACATATCACACAGGGATTCAGGGGCCTTACGTCACACACTCCCAATTCTAGGAATATCTGCAGCCATATCCTTTGCACACAAAAAAGCTATAGACTTTGTACCAGAAGAGATTCTCCAAACAAATGAACTACAGGGTGAAAACTTTAGTTTTAAGTTTTCCCACTATCTTGTTAAAACTGTGCTTGGAAACAACACATTCCTCCTATTTTTCTTTTAGAGAAAATTCCAACTAGCTAGGGATCGAGCATTTTCACTGTTTCTTCTGATGAACTGAGTTAAATACATCTTCTTTCTATCCTCATAGTGATTATTTTCCCCAATTTTTGTGGTTTTTCCTACTTCTTTGTTGGGACTGTCATCACAATAGAGTTCTGGGAGTCCTTTCTTAACATTGCTTGGTTCAGGGCTGACTGCTGAGGCAGAGTCACACTGAGGAAAGACGTGAGCTTCAGTTTATCACAACAGTAGCCAAGTATTTAAAGTGGATCTGAATTTAAACTGGAAAAAAATATGAATTGGCAAAGTGATCTACATTCGGATACACTCCAACAACTTCAGGATATACTCAATTCTTAATTTTTTCCTGCTAAGAACAAGAAGTGATAAGAAGGATCCAGGAGTAACTCGTCACTTAAATTACACAGTGCATTTTTCCTTGAAATCAAATAATCTTTAACATATTCTATTTCAAAAAGAAATGTGAGACTTTGAAGTTGTTTCAATGGACCACTTAATTTACATACAGATTCTGTTTCTTGCCCAAATAAGAGACATATCTAATAGCAAATGAATAAATGCGTAAATCAAATTTTCTCAAGTTTTTAAGACACTTGCTTCTGATTTTACTTTTTATTTTTGGTAAGCCAGTGTCAGAATTAACTTCTTGAAAGTACTAGAGAGAGAGGAAGAACATTAGAAAACGGCCCATGAATAAAGTTTTGCTACAAATAGTCTGAGTTTACACACAAATTGAAAGGCTATTCAGGGTTCCTATATCTGCACTATAATTCACAGATTTTAAGTATGGGGCACAGTTTAGAAAAGCTATATCCTCTGACAAATTACTTAAGCTCCTCAGGTTGCCATTCCTCAACTTTAAAGTTCTATAAATGCAGGAATAGAAATTAACTGAGAAGTGAAACTCAGAAGTCTGCCCATGCAATGTAGAATACTGCCTAAATTATAAGAATGCAAGCAAGGCTGGTCCGAGTGCAGTGGTGTTTACAACTAATTGATCACAACCAGTTACAGGTTTCTTTGTTCCTTCTCCACTCCCACTGCTTCACTTGACTAGCCTTAAAAAAAAAAGAAGAAGAATGCAAGCAAAGGCAACTAGTGCATAAATAAAACATAAGTTTATATGTTCTTAACATTCTTACCCAATGTTTATATTCATTTATTAAACTTTAATACTAAGGTTTAACCATTTAAATCCTAATGTATCTTTATTATACACCATTATATAATAATATATATTATATGCATTAGAGTGTTGCCTAAACCTTACATAAAACGTAAGATCTGCAAAATGTACTTCTACCTGTTGATGACTATCATCAAAGACAAACTTCTTAGCATTTGAGAAGGAAACAAATGCAAAGAGAAACATAATTAATTTATTATTATACATGTTATTAGATATCCATTCCTCAGCTGGGCAGGAAT